TGTCCCCACGGTTACCGACCAGGCCTGTCTGACCACACTTCTGCTCAGACATCCATCCATCCTGCTCGGACCCATCTGCCTCTTCACATCAGGCTTTTATCCTGCAGATACCTCTGGCGGATCCCTCTACCATGGGTGGGTATATTCAGGGGCCGTGACCTGGTCTCTGTCTGCTCCAAGTCCATCCCCACCATCAGGGGCCCTGGTGAACAAGCAGACTGGGACTTAGACTCCGCGCTCTGGGGAATCCTATCCCGTGGGTTGCTAGAGGTACCGCCAGGCGGTACATTACAAATACTCTTCCTCCTCATCATTCCTATGATTGTCCAATTGAGCTCCTGCCCGGCGCTGGAATTTACCCCCTATCCGAAGTAGAATTAGAGGTCCTGCGTGGTTATATTGATGAGAGTCTGGAAAAAGGGTTTATTTGGCCTTCTACATCACCAGCAAGTGCTGACATTTTCTTTAAGAAGAAGGATCACACCCTCAGATCCTGTGTGGACTACCGTGACCTAAAGAAGATAACAGTCAAAAATCGTTATCCCCTGCCTCTAATTCCTGAGTTATTCCAAAGGCTGCAAGGAGCATGTTTCTTCTCAAAACTGGATCTGAGGGGCGCTTACAATCTGGTTAGAATTCGCAAAGGTGATGAATGGAAGACGGCCTTCCGAACTCGCTTCAGGCATTTTGAATACCTGGGGATGCCTTTTGGTCTCTGTAATGCCCCAGCAACCTTCCAACACCTTGTAAACGATATATTTCGGGACTATTTGGATCTATTCATAATCGTTTACCTGGATGACATCTTAGTTTTCTCCAGTTCAATAGAAAGACATCGGGATCATGTAAAAAAGACTCTGGATAGATTACGCCAACATCACCTTTACGCAAAAGCTGAAAAAAATGTGAATTTGAGAGACAGTCTATCCAGTTCCTCAGACTTGTGATCACCCCCGAGGGCATTTCTATGGACCCCCAAAATGTGTCCTCTATATTGGAGTGGCCCGTTCCAGGAGACAGGAAAGCAGTTCAGCGTTTTGTAGGATTTGCAAATTTCTACAGGAAATTTATCAAAAACTTCTCTGGGATCATCGCACCAATAACACAGCTCACCAGGCAACATATCCCCTTCAAGTGCACTCCCGAGGCCCAAGCAGCCTTTGAACAATTTAAAGACCTTGTTCACCTCTGCACCTATCCTGAAGCACCCAGACCCTGCTCTAGCCTTTGTCCTCGAAGTGGACGCTTCTGAGAATGCTGTAGGAGCCATCTTGTCACAAAGACAGGGACTCAAATCCCTTCTGAACCCTGTTGCATTTTTCTCCAGGAAGTTAAATGCCTCTGAAAGGAACTATGATGTGGGAGACAGAGAGCTGCTAGCCATCAAGGCAGCACTTGAGGAATGGCGCTACTTACTGGAGGGAGCATCCCATCCTATTCTCACAGACCATAAGAACCTTGAATACCTGAAAATGGCAAATGCCTAAGGCCACGACCAGCAAGATGGGCATTATTTTTCTCCCGCTTTGTCTTCCATTTAACATACCGTCCTGGATCAAAAAACGGTAAACCCGACGCACTCTCCCGTATGTTTTCCCGACCCAATTGTACAGTCTGAACCTGACACGATTTTGCCAGCCAAGAATTTTTTACTGCTGCAGACAGACCTTGTAACACAAATAAGAGAAGTGGTGGATAATCATCCACCTTCCATAGATATGCATCTTCAGCTAAAGGACGGTCTGTATTTTCATAAAGAACAAATCTTTGTGCCCAAAAAACTCAGGACTCTTATCCTCAAAAGGTGTCACGATCACCCCTTAGCAGGTCACTTCAGGATCCACAAGACCTCAAATTTGGTCTCTCGCTCCTTCTGGTGGCCAAACTCAATAAAAGATTGCCAGGACTATGTGAGGTCTTGTACAGTTTGCCTTAGAAACAAGTCTGACAAAGCCAAGACCTGGGGCCTGTTGGAATCTTTGCCCGTACCGGAAAAACTTTGGAGTATGATCTCCATGGATTTTATTGTGGAACTTCCCCCAACCGAAGGATTTACCACTATTGTAGTGGTTGACCGCCTATCAAAGATGGCCCACTTCATTCCCTTGAAAGGGACTCCTTCCACCACGGAAACTGCTTCTGCTTTTATCAAAGAGATCTGAGATTGCATGGCGTTCCTATTAATATTGTATCTGACCGAAGAGTACAATTTACGTCGAAGTTCTGGAGAGCTCTGTGTGAGGCATTAGAGATGGAATTACGCTTCTCCTCTGCATATCACACACAAACGAATGGACAGACAGAAAGAACGAACTAAACTCTGGAACAATACCTCCGATGCGTTTCCTCTTATTCACAGGATGACTGGGCATCTCTCCTTTCGTTAGCGAAGTTCGCTTACAATAATTCCATTCACTCGGCTACCAAGCAATCCCCCTTTTACTCCAACTATGGATATCATCCCTCCTTCCTTCTGGAAATACCAGTGGAACCCACTGTCCCGGCAGTACAAGAAAGGATGGAGTTCCTCAGGAGGAACGGGGAAATATTGCAGAAAACTATTTCTGAAGCTCAGGCGAGTAACAAAAAATTTTTTGACAAAAGAAGGGGCAACTTAACACTGAAACAAGGAGATAAAGTCTGGTTATCAACGGCAAATCTAAAATTGAATTGTCCTTCGAGAAAGCTTGGTCCAAGATACCTAGGACCATTTACTATCAAAAGAAAAGTTAACCCTGTAGCTTTCGAATTAAAACTACCTGCTAATATGAGGATTCACCCAGTGTTCCATTGCTCCTTGCTAAAACCACATATTCCAAGTGGATTTCCCAATCGAGATCTGGAGGCGCCTGCTCCACTGCTGGTTGAAGGAAATGAAGAATACGAGGTTGAGGCTATCTTGAATTGTAGGAAGAGGGGCAGACAGATTCAGCTTCTCATTAAATAGAAAGGTTATGGACCAGAGGATAATTCCTGGGAACCATCCACTAATGTCCATGCCCCACAGATAGTTCAAGCCTACCTCCATCTTCACCCTGAAAAACGAGCCCTAGTGGGCATCCGGAGGCTGCCCCTAAGGGGGGGGGGGCAATGTAAGGGATTTCCAGCCAGACGAATCGCGATCGGGCATGCGCATAGGAATTCCCGCAGGAGAATTGCCGGTTGTGCGCATGTGCGCAGAAATGCGCGATTGCACGCACGGCGAAGATTGGCACCAGACGGCCTATTTAAGGAGTGTCTCTGCTCATGTTCAGTGCTGACTGGTCTTCAGCTCCCCCGTGTCCTGCTTGCTCCTGTGTGATTCCTTTGTTGCTGACCCGGCTTGTTCCTCACCTGACTCTGATTACCCTCATGATTGATACTGGTTCCTGACTTCGGCTCTGCTCCTGACCTTGGCTTTTCCTTCTGATTCTGTACCATGCTGCCCGACTGTTGATGACCCTGGCTATCCCATGACACTGCTCCTGTCTGTTGTCCTCACTACCTGCATTGCTCTGGTGCACGCCTGGCAATCTACAAAACCTGCTCTGCCTACTACTACTGTGCCAAAATCAGAGGATCATCAGCCTTCCAAGGTCATCATCTGCAAGAGCTGCAAACAACAACTACTGGCGTTCTTGTTCCCCTGGGTGCTAGACTCCCTCTGTTCCAACTCCAGCGGGGTCAGGGCTAGTGACACAAGTGAGGCCGACCTCGTCATTTCAGTCTCCCATCAGGTATGTGAAACAGGGTAAATAGGAAAGGTGGTGGTCTCTATGTGAGAAGTGACCTCAGAGCGAGTGTGAAAGAGGACCTAGTTGATGGAGAGTGTGATGAGGCTGAAGTATTATGGGTGGAACTGAACATGGGGGTGCATACTACAAAGGTAATCATTGGAGTTTATTATAGGCCTCCCAGTGTTAATGAGGAGGTGAAGACTCAGCTCCATGCACAGATTGACAGGGCTGCAAGGGCTGGGACAGTGATAATAATGGGGGATTTTAACTACCCAGAAATTGACTGGAGTAATGGTACTTCAGGTACAGTTAAAGGGCAAAAATTTTTTAAACCTACTACAGGACAATTTTATGGTACATTTCATAGAGGCTCCTTTTTAGGAATGATGCTCTGCTGTACCTGGTAATTAGAGATGAGTGAATTATTCAAAAATTCGATTCGGCTGATTCGGCGAATTCGCGGAATAAATTTGATTCGAGTCGAATATATTCGCTGCGAATTTAACATATAAAAGGGTGTTTCTAGGCTTCAGAGAGCCTTTATATTAGTGCAGAACACTGTACCTTTAATTTAAATGCCCTTGGAGTCTGCTGGGGAAGAGAAATAATCCTGTCAGTCGGTATGACATGCAGATGAGTGCCGTCGATCTTAGAATCACCGCACACTTCACTCATTTGGGCAGTCACGGGGCCAAAACCAGAGTGTGGAGCCACAGTGTGGCGGTGGAGGCAGCAGCAATGGGAGGCCATACAGCACCCTATGAAAAAAATGGAACCCACCAGCAGTGTGAGGAGACCTGAAAGTGGCACATGGCAGAGTGTGGCGATGGAGACAGCAGCAATGGGAGGCCGTACAGGGACCCATGACACACTCTGGACCTGGCAGCAGCATGAGGAGGCGGTACAGGGGCCCATGACAGATTACAGGCCTGGCAGCAGCATGAGGAGTCGGTACGGGGGCCCATGGCAGATTACGGGCCTGGCAGCAGCAATGGGAGGCCATACAGCACCCTATGACAAAATGGAACCCACCAGCAGTGTGAGGAGACCTGAAAGTGGCACATGGCAGAGTGTGGCAATGGAGACAGCAGCAATGGGAGGCCGTACAGGGACCCATGACACACTCTGGACCTGGCAGCAGCATGAGGAGGCGTTACAGGGGCCCATGACAGATTACGGGCCTGGCAGCAGCATGAGGAGTCGGTACGGGGGCCCATGGCAGATTACGGGCCTGGCAGCAGCAATGGGAGGCCATACAGCACCCTATGACAAAATGGAACCCACCAGCAGTGTGAGGAGACCTGAAAGTGGCACATGGCAGAGTGTGGCGATGGAGACAGCAGCAATGGGAGGCCGTACAGGGACCCATGACACACTCTGCACCTGGCAGCAGCATGAGGAGGCGGGTACAGGGGCCCATGGCAGATTACAGGCCTGGCAGCAGCAATGGGAGGCCGTACAGGGACCCATGACATACTCTGGACCTGGCAGCAGCATGAGGAGGCGGTACAGGGGCCCATGACAGATTACGGGCCTGGCAGCAGCAGCATGAGGAGTCGGTACGGGGGCCCATGGCAGATTACGGCCTGGCAGCAGCAATGGGAGGCCATTACAGCACCCTATGACAAAATGGAACCCACCAGCAGTGTGAGGAGACCTGAAAGTGGCACATGGCAGAGTGTGGCGATGGAGACAGCAGCAATGGGAGGCCGTACAGGGACCCATGACACACTCTGCACCTGGCAGCAGCATGAGGAGGCGGTACAGGGCCCATGACAGATTACGGGCCTGGCAGCAGCATGAGGAGTCGGTACGGGGGCCCATGGCAGATTACGGGCCTGGCAGCAGCAATGGGAGGCCGTACAGGGACCCATGACACACTCTGGACCTGGCAGCAGCATGAGGAGGCGGTACAGGGGCCCATGACAGATTACGGGCCTGGCAGCAGCATGAGGAGTCGGTACAGGGCCCATGGCAGATTACGGGCCTGGCAGCAGCAATGGGAGGCCATACAGCACCCTATGACAAAATGGAACCCACCAGCAGTGTGAGGAGACATGAAAGTGGCACATGGCAGAGTGTGGCAATGGAGACAGCAGCAATGGGAGGCCGTGCAGGGACCCCATTACACACTCTGGACCCGGCAGCAGCATGAGGAGGCGGTACAGGGGCCCATGACAGATTTCGGGCCTGGCAGCAGCAATGGGAGGCCCGTAATCTGCCAGCACCCTATGACAAAATGGAACCCACCAGCAGTGTGAGGAGACCTGAAAGTGGCACATGGCAGAGTGTGGCGATGGAGACAGCAGCAATGGGAGGCCGTACAGGGACCCATGACACACTCTGGACCTGGCAGCAGCATGAGGAGGCGGTACAGGGGCCCATGACAGATTACGGGCCTGGCAGCAGCATGAGGAGTCGGTACGGGGGCCCATGGCAGATTACGGGCCTGGCAGCAGCAATGGGAGGCCGTACAGGGACCCATGACACACGCTGGACCTGGCAGCAGCATGAGGAGGGGGGGGTACAGGGGCCCATGACAGATTACGGGCCTGGCAGCAGCATGAGGAGTCGGTACGGGGGCCCATGGCAGATTACGGGCCTGGCAGCAGCAATGGGAGGCCCGTAATCTGCCAGCACCCTATGACAAAATGGAACCCACCAGCAGTGTGAGGAGACCTGAAAGTGGCACATGGCAGAGTGTGGCGATGGAGACAGCAGCAATGGGAGGCCGTACAGGGACCCATGACACACTCTGGACCTGGCAGCAGCATGAGGAGGCGGTACAGGGGCCCATGACAGATTACGGGCCTGGCAGCAGCATGAGGAGTCGGTACGGGGGCCCATGGCAGATTACGGGCCTGGCAGCAGCAATGGGAGGCCCGTAATCTGCCAGCACCCTATTACAAAATGGAACCCACCAGCAGTGTGAGGAGACCTGAAAGTGGCACATGGCAGAGTGTGGCGATGGAGACAGCAGCAATGGGAGGCCGTACAGGGACCCATGACACACTCTGCACCTGGCAGCAGCATGAGGAGGTGGTACAGGGGCCCATGACAGATTACGGGCCTGGCAGCAGCATGAGGAGTCGGTACGGGGGCCCATGGCAGATTACGGGCCTGGCAGCAGCAATGGGAGGCCGTACAGGGACCCATGACACACTCTGGACCTGGCAGCAGCATGAGGAGGCGGTACAGGGGCCCATGACAGATTACGGGCCTGGCAGCAGCATGAGGAGTCGGTACAGGGGCCCATGGCAGATTACGGGCCTGGCAGCAGCAATGGGAGGCCCGTACAGCACCCTATGACAAAATGGAACCCACCAGCAGTGTGAGGAGACATGAAAGTGGCACATGGCAGAGTGTGGCAATGGAGACAGCAGCAATGGGAGGCCGTGCAGGGACCCATTACACACTCTGGACCCGGCAGCAGCATGAGGAGGCGGTACAGGGGCCCATGACAGATTTCGGGCCTGGCAGCAGCAATGGGAGGCCCGTAATCTGCCAGCACCCTATGACAAAAATGGAACCCACCAGCAGTGTGAGGAGACCTGAAAGTGGCACATGGCAGAGTGTGGCGATGGAGACAGCAGCAATGGGAGGCCGTACAGGGGACCCATGACACACTCTGGACCTGGCAGCAGCATGAGGAGGCCGTACAGGGGCCCATGACAGATTACGGGCCTGGCAGCAGCATGAGGAGTCGGTACGGGGGCCCATGGCAGATTACGGGCCTGGCAGCAGCAATGGGAGGCCCGTAATCTGCCAGCACCCTATTACAAAATGGAACCCCACCAGCAGTGTGAGGAGACCTGAAAGTGGCACATGGCAGAGTGTGGCGATGGAGACAGCAGCAATGGGAGGCCGTACAGGGACCCATGACACACTCTGGACCTGGCAGCAGCATGAGGAGGCGGGGTACAGGGGCCCATGACAGATTACGGGCCTGGCAGCAGCATGAGGAGTCGGTACGGGGGCCCATTGCAGATTACGGGCCTGGCAGCAGCAATGGGAGGCCCGTAATCTGCCAGCACCCTATGACAAAATGGAACCCACCAGCAGTGTGAGGAGACCTGAAAGTGGCACATGGCAGAGTGTGGCGATGGAGACAGCAGCAATGGGAGGCCGTACAGGGACCCATGACACACTCTGGACCTGGCAGCAGCAAGAGGAGGCGGTACAGGGGCCCATGGCAGAGTGGCGAAGCGTAAGCAGCTTAAATTGAAGGCCATACAGAGGCCTATGTTAAAAATAATAACATGTTTTGGGGCATGATTCATGGCGGATTTAGTCAGTTGTGTCAGGAACTGGTGGTTTGAAATCCAGACTAATCCACGCCTGATTCATTTTCACAAACGTGAGTCTCTCCACACTTTGGGTGGACAGTCGTGTCCTCCGCGGAGTTACAATACCTCCTGCCGCACTAAACACGCGCTCCGATGCCAAGCTACTTACCGGGCATGACAGCCTTTCAAGGGCAAATTCAGCTAGTTGGGGCCAAAGGTCAAGTTTCGTTGCCCAGTAGTCAAGGGGATTGTCTACCTCGGTTGGCAGGGTGCTGTCCAAGTAGGCCCAAGCCTGTTGTTTGAGGTCCTGCTCCAGGTCCACCTGATGCTGCTGCTGCTGTGGGCTGGTTAGTAGTTTCCTCACTGCGCTGGTGAAGAAAGCTACTCATCATCGACTGCAGACTGAGGCAGCCGCTGCTGGTGGAGCTGCCACTGCTCCTACCACCCCCACCCCTCCCCTGCTGCCATGGCAGCGGAACGCGAGCGCACAGGGCCCACAGTGTCTGAGGATGGACGTTGGCGCAGAAAGGCAGAGACCAACTGACTACATAGGTGGTTTTTTATAGTACGTATTTTTGGGCCTCCCTCTCAGCAGGTGTGAAAAAGGCCACCATTTTTGAACGGTAGCGAGGGTCCAACAAGGTGGACAGCCAAAAGTCATCCCTCTGTCTGATGGTTATTATTCGGCTGTCGCTACGCAAGCAACCGAGCATGCTATGGGCCATTTGTGCCAAGGAATGCGAGGGACTCCCTGCCTCCCATCTCCACAGCATACTGCCACGGTGCGTCCTGGGTCCTCTGTCTCCTCCTCCTCCTCTACCAGATGCTCCTGCTCCTCCACTCCTGTCCGCTGAGTGGAAAAAACCACCCATTTTCACTCAATAATTCCTGAGCACCAATGTCCTCCTCTACCTCCTCCTCTTCTTCCTGTCCTGCCCCCACAGGGGTCATGTGGCGTTGAGATCTGTGCGCCACGTCTACCGCACCCTGACCAGCCATTGTTAACAGCATTTGTTCCAGGACGTGCAACAGAGGAATGACGTCGTTCATGCCCATAGTCCTGCCGACTCACGAATAGCGTGGCCTCCTCAAAAGGGCCTGAGCAAGCGGCAGGTGTCACGCATGAGCTGCCAATGGCTGACATCTAAGTTACACAGGGGAGTACCTTTATCCGCTTGTAACATCAGGAAATCGGTGATGGCCTTTCGCTGTTCGTAAAGGCGGTCTAACATATGTAGGGTTGAATTCCACCTTGTTGCAACGTCACAGATCAGGCGATGCTGTGGAATTCCGTTTCTGCCGCTGCAGCTCAAGGAGGGTGTGCTTTGCGGTGTAGGAATGGCTGAAATGCATGCAAAGTTTACGTGACATTTTAAGGATGTCTTGCAGTGGGATGGTGGATTTTAGGAACCGCTTGACAACCAGATTGAACACGTGAGCCATGCATGGCGCATGGCACAACCTTCCTTGACGCAGAGCAGACACCATGTTCTTTCCGTTGTCGGTCAACATGGTTCCGATTTTCAGTTTGCGCGGAGACAGCCATCTGTCGATTTCTCTGTTCATTACACTCAGAAGTTCCTCCCCTGTGTGACTACGTTTGCCAAGGCATACCAGGTGCAGCACAGCGTGACACCGTTGCGCCCTGCACATGTGATATGCCGGTCGGGTAATGGGACTTGGCACGGGGGTGGCAGCTGAGACACGGCGGAAGAAGAGGTGGTAGAGGCGGACATCTTTGCTGGACCAAGGACGTGCAAACGTGGAGGCAAAAAGCGGCGTGACCTGTCCAAGTCCTGTTGCGGCTGTGCCGGCACCACGTTCACGTTCACTACCCCAGTGGGGGCCGTAAATGACATGTACTGTCCCTGACCGATAGTTACTGCTCCACACGTCGGCGCTGCCGTGCACTTTGGCAGAGAGACCGACATGCTCAAAGACTGGCCCACCATCTCTTCTACATGTGAATGCAGGGCTGGCACTGCCTTTTTGGCGAAGAAATGCCGGCTTGGCACTCTCCACCGCGGCGCGCACAAGCCATCATTTCTCGGAAAGGTGCTGAGTCCACCACTTGGAA